GACATGAGCTTGGGTGATTCTTGATTGTGTGCGGCAGGGCTGAAATATACTATTTTCGGGGGAGATCAACAAGAAGCGGATAGATAGTATTTGATAATCACTTCTCGGACAATTATTTTTCGTACAGATTGACGCTTTAAATTAATGTATAAACAAGATAATTGTTCGGGAACATGAATCAAATTGTAAGCTATATTTGATTATTTTTATTTATTTTAATGCCCAGTTTTAGAGATTATTCTATCTTCTGCTTAGAGAAAATCTTTAATAGACTAATCAGTCATATTCAATATTCAAACTGAAATTTGAAATTAATGTATAAACCAAATATTTGTTTAAGAAGTTTATTTCTTGAGTGAATAATAATAGTCATATTGTATTAAACCCCTGCAAAGGGTATTAAAATTTCAGTCAAAAGTTTGGAACGGAGTGAAGGAGACATCTCCACCCTTATAAAGTATACATCATCGGCCTCAGGAGAGTCGATCTAGCCATGTCCATATTTTAGCTTTAATGCGGAATGAAACTTTACCTAAAGTGATCGTTTTATTGCAGGCAGTATATAAGTCGAAACTAGACGGAATGTACATTATATAAATGTTGCTCTCATAGGAATAATAGGAAAAATAAATAAAATACTATTTTTAAAAATTTTCAAAAACTACTGCTATAAATTTATAAAAATCGGACGATTTAAATGTATACATCATTAAAAATCTATAATCATGAACCAAATAATATTTATATATTTTGATTGTTGTTTATATTCAGTTATTTTAGTAAAGATTGAAATAAGTAAGATAATTTTGCATAATGTTGTGTCAATATGGAATTAAAATTGAAATATTTATTTGATTTTGGTTTTTCTGATATGGTTTATCAAGTATATGTATATTTTAAAATAGTTAAGCTTGCAATAATAAATATTTTAAATTACCCTGATATATAGAAATAGTATTTCCTCTAAAAATAATATTTAACTAAAACTTATTGTATTCTAATAATTTCTTTATTCTATCAGATGTCCTCTTTATTACCCGCTTTTCTTTCAAAGTATCGAATGTCATCGAAAGCCTCATTGAGATTTTTAATAATTTGTTAAGCAAATCTCCCTTGAATTGGCCTTCCTCTTGGCCGTGTCAGCTTTAAATCGGTTTAGGTTTGGGCCGCACACACTCGCCCACACAGATACCGTGGACATAAGTATTCGGTCAGCCGGGAGCGATGCAGATGCCAATGAAAAACATGATCCCAGTCAGCGATGACCACAAAGGGGTCAGGGAATTGAGTGACTTGCTAAGCTCTGCACAGCAAGAAAACCATTTGAAGAATTTATTACAAATTGTAAGTCCGAGGCGCAGATTAAGGTACCAACTTATTCTAAAAGGTTTTTATATTGATAAAAAAACTATCTGAAAAAATTACTTATTTTTACTCCATTTTTGTGATTACATTTTTCATCATTAAAACATGCCAGTGTATCTTACACATTTTAAACTTATTTGGAGGTCTCCCTTTGGTGACGTCATTGATCGTTTTGGCTTGCTTGAAAATCTTGCCTTTTGTATCGCCGACCTCAAGCCCCATTTTAAAATCCATCTGCATTCTGCATATATGTATTTGTGGGCTTATATGACACGTATGCCAAATCGGCTTAAGGGCAAGTTATCGGCATTTGAAAATAAAAACACGCGCATTATCGACACCAAGCAGAACAGAAGGTTGATATGTGGAAGTGCACTGGCCGAATTTAAAGGCTACTTACTGTATTTAATCAATTATTGATTTCAATTATTGGATAAAGAATTAATACAGACATGTTTAATTTTTTAAATGCTTGAATTCCATTAAATCAAAATTTCTATAAATATATTTACAGTTATGATTTTATAATTTAATACACATCTTAGTTTCTTATATTTTAAATATGTATGTTTGTTCTAAATAACTGTTTTCATTTATTGAAAATGTTTTTTGAATATGAAATATTATAACTCAAAAATTTCTTTAGTTAAGAAATTTTAACATATTGGATTTTGGAAATCTCCGACCAGTCTATATTTATTTCTGTGGTTAGTTTTATATCATTTAGACAAAATTTCAAAGGGTTTTCTGACACAGAAAGTAGATTTTGGGTTGAAATTTGGTTTGACACCCAAGATCGTGATGAACGCAGAACCTCTGGTTTCTTGCGGTGTAGGCCGTCGGCTGCAGCATTCTGTTTGAAAACGAGGATGAGGATGAGGATGTCAAAGCCATCGTCTGTCTGGCTGTCAATACGTTTTCCATTTGTCGCCTCTAATGACACACATATTTAGGTGTTAATCGCCTCATTGGAACGCTGGCAGCGGATTTGCTCGCATTGTTGTCCGGTGGTCGGGTTCGGAGTCGGGGATCGGGGTTTGCCGCTCCGGAGGAATCCAGAGTCGGTCGCAGGGTAAATATTGATGCTGCGATTATAACTATTGATGCGTTCACAATGGACTTGCCGGGCATTATCCCTGGCCGATCAGCCAGCCAGCTAGCCAGATCTCTTCCCTCTCCACTCCGCTCGTCGGGCGATTAGTCGTGGCCTGGGTTTCAGTCAATCGTGTTTTGGCTTTAAGGCGCATTATCTCCTAAATCGCAAACAAAACTGCAAACAAATTGCCGCAAAGCGGGACCCGAAACATGGAAAAACATTCCGTTTCGAGGCAAGCGGAGCATATGCCCGGAATCCGGATCGGCATCCGAATAGGTAGGGTATTAGGAAAATTGCCAAATGGCTTCAGCGGCAGAGGAAGTGAGCTGCCAATGATACGATATATCCGTCTAACCGTTTCTCTTTTCCTCTGATCTGCCATCCTGGGGTTGTTTAATCTGATCGTGTTCGGGGTGTTTGATAAATTAGTTGGGAATTTAAAAGGTATTCTTCCTTAAAAAAACCGAAAGAACAAAAAAAAATTAAAGGAATCACTTTTTATTAAGGCATGTCAACCATCTGTCTTCTATATCCCTGCAATCCATTGAAGTTTTAAATAAAAATATTTAACTTTTTTTAAATATAAACTAGAAACCTAATTTTGTTTGTAGGCGACCTTTGATGTGTGTTTAAATTTTTTGAGTTTTTCCGGCTCGAGGTCAACAATTGAAAAATTTTTTTTAAATAAAAGTTTTTAATTTTTATTAAAACCATTAAAACCTATTAAACCATTAATAGGAGAAAACCAAAATTGTATATAAAAATATAAACAAAAAATTAAAAAAAAAACATGATATCAATGAAATGACTTAACTTATTTTTAATTTCTAAAATGACTTAATAATTAGTTAAAACAAAATTAGTCTTCGGTATTTTAGTGCATTATTAATATTTAAGAATCTATACAATTTTATTTGTATTTAAATTTAATATTGTGCTCAAAAATGAGTCAACGAATAGTTTTTTATTGGCTTAATCAAAAGTCAACCTAATATAACTTGTTCGTTGAAAAATCAATTGGTATACCGAAAGCAAGCCGTAAAATATGTAGAATCGTTATCCCAACTCTAGATCCTCATGTGAATAAATGAATACTTAAACAAAAACATGGCGACAGGGGTTTGACAATTATTTTTTATATGCTAGCTCTTCTTTTAATTGGAATACATGTTAAGCTGCTATGTATACGTACAGCTATAGGCAGGAACGCTTGTGTGACATCACATATTGTTCCTTCTCCAAAAAAAGGTTTTTCATTCATATTTGGTAATCAACCCCTGACAGCCAGACAAATGTATCTGTTGTGGCATATACAATGCAGACTGCGCCGGCGTTGGCATTTTTGTTAAGCTATTATACCTTTTTAACCACTGTGCTGCTGAGGAGTTGTGATTGGCCAATTGCCAGTCAACCAATTCTGAGAAAGCCGGTTGATAAATGGAACACTGGATCAGTGTCAACTCTAGAAAATGAAAAAGTTTTTCGATTAAATTCTGTAGTGCGGATTAAAATCATTTAAATTTCAAAATATTTATTCAAAAGTGTTTTTTAGTTCCGAGGTGTGACTATTTTTGGGACCACTTTTTAAGTATTATTTCGCAAAGTAAGATGTGTATTTAAATAAAGATATTTCTGATACATATTCTGATAATTTATCTGTTACTATTTTCGTTAAAAAAAAGTAAAGAATATTTATATATTTTTTAGGGGGTTTAATAGTCATTATTATAGTTTGACCGATATTGGCGATCGGCAATGATCTAGTAAACCATCAAATTCGTTATAACTGCTGGGGCACTATAACTTTTGCTTGCTAAATATTAATGTCTATATATTAATATTTCAAATATATTTATAGTGCATTCCAAAAGCTCGATTGGCCTTGCTATTAGTAATCATGAGTAATAAAGTTGAATATTCCAATCTAGTCAGAGCGGTAAAATGAAGTAGATATAAAATAAATATATGTATATAAAGTTAGAAGTCCAATTTTACCAATATATAATCTAAGCATGAGCTAAGTGAGAATATAACTGGCTTAAATTTGTTTAAATATACACTTTTAAAATACGAATCAATCCTCCTACAACAGCCAAGCGAACAGCGGCAAGCAGTGTTTTAACAGAGGCACTCATGTTACCGAGGTCATTATAGCAGCTGTGTTATGTTAAAACAGAGTCTATTAAGTTAACATAGACTCACTGCTTTCTTTCCACTGCTTTATTTCAAGCTGTTTTTAAAGCTTAATGTTATTTTAATTTCAAAGTTGCACAAAATAAGAAAAACTCGTTTATTTTGTTTGTTTTAAACCATTTTTATTTCTAAAAAATTAACATGCCTTTTTTGTTTGTAGCTAGAATTATAATCACTAATTAAGTAAATGTTTTGTTTCTGTTCTTAATCCATTTGGTGTTTTCCATTTTGTTTTAAATGTTCTGTTATCGATTTAATTCTATTAAAATTTAACATGAAAGATCGCTAAAAATTGCTCAATTGTTACATTCAACGTTATACGCCTTTTGATTTTGTAATGGATTGATTTGTGTAACAACTTGATGCTAGTTTATTAACAAAGTTAAAAACAAAAACAAAATTAAGCCCTATGTGGTAAATTACCGAGTAGTAAGTAGTAAATATTAACTGAACACAACAAACCATTTTTACACGTGTGAATTGGCTAGAGAAGAGCAAAATAAAGGGGTGATTACCATATATTGCTGTAAGAAGAAGTTGGGAAGAACGTAATGTACATAATGTGCAAGTGCTGCAGGTGTCTTCTAATGTGCTAACGGATGAACAACAAAAATTATTAACAAAAACCTTCGACTATGAATTAAAGCTACCTAAAAGTACAGATCGAATAACAGAAGAAGATGGGAACTAAACAATGTGGTTGGCTTCGAATCCTCTTTTTTGTTTTTACGTACATAAGCATTATGGATAAGTGTGTTATTTTCGCTAGAATTTGTGAACATCATGGACGGATGTTAATTTGAAGTAAAATTTAGCGCACAGTGGCGCCTTGCTGGCTGCATACAACCCGTGACGTCAGCAAAGGGGGTGGGGCCGGAAGGGGACGGGAATCGGGGAGGGGGTACAGAGGTAGGTGGAGGGATTCGGGGGATTTCATTTTCAAATTTTGATTTACACTAAAGTTAACTATACTAATCAACAGTTTCTTGTCCAGTTGGTTGTTTGTACAGTGATCGCTCGTATCGTAGATGTAGATATCAGTATATCAGTATATGTATGTAATGCTATATCATAGGCATCTAAGGCATAGTTTTGTCTAAACGATAAAGTTCATGTTACTCATATTTCGATTTACCAATTATTTACAACAATTTCGTATCACAATTGTAATTTTTGCATGTTTTTGTCTTGCTTGTTTAAAAAATGTTCCTACGCTCCAGTTGTATGCAAACTTACGAGCAGCACTGTGCGAATATTCGAAATGTTTTCCACAATCGAAGAAACTCGATCGTTGCTGTTATTGTGTTAGATTAGTTATTCAAACTAGGAGCTATGTAAAAGGTACGAGTATAATAATTGAATTCATAATTCGTTAACCCTCTGCTAAGCTAAAAGAATCTTTATCTGAATCTGAATCTGAATCCGGATCTATATCTGTATCTGTGTTTATGTCTGCATCGGTATCTGTATCTGTGTGAGAGTGGTGTATATAACCTGGCTATGTACGAATATATCCTGTTGTTTATATGTAAATATATGTAGATATAGCTTCTCGTTTATATCCGCGTAATCAAACTTGCTGCGTCGTATTAAACTCTGAAAACATAACAAATTTAAAGCCCTTCGCTGCAAATGTATGGGCATATATATTAGATGTATCTATGTGTGTCGAGTGTGAAGTGTGGATGTTTAAAACCATAAACTGCCACCTTTGAGGCGAGCCTTAGCTATATAATGCACTAAAACCGACTTAAGCGGACCCGCGTTGACGCAAGTGTTTGCTGGCCAGTTGAACCGGCTGGAAATTATTGCCAAAGTACTTAAGGACTAAACTACAAACCTAATGCATAATAAGACTACATAACAGGGTTGGTTTCCGGGAAGGTATATATGTATGTATATCCATCGCATTCCGTTTTTGATTCTGCAATCTCGACTTTTCGACTGTTCGACTCTTTAAGGGATTAGGTAACTACGTAGCTCTCATTTGATTTTCATACTCTCTGCATGCAGATCATAAAAATATGATGAGTTATCTCTAACTAACTATATATGTAACGTAGACGTAAGTTTAAACGTAGAACTAGATGGTAAGTGTATAATTTGCTCTGAGCTTAACTGTGTGCCTGGTTGTGGAAAATCTCTCAAAATTGAGCTAAGTAAATATTCTGAATCTGGTTTGATTCGGGGGACCGTCCAGATCCCGAGCCGGCAAGCTTTTGGGTCCACCTACTTGCCGGCCAACTGTGGCTGCTATTGGTGGCTCTTGCTGAGCAGGTGCGAGTTGAACTCGTAGACGTTGTTCAGCTGCTCGCCGCAGATGTTGCACCGCCACGGATTGCTCTCGCAGTGGCAGCCCTTGTGCAGGAAGTACAGCGTCTCGTCGGGGAACTCGATGCCGCAGAAGTGGCAGGTGAGGATCAGCTTGCGGTTGAGCAGCAGGTCTCCGTCCTGGCCGGTCGACGTGATCGTTCCGTTGCAGATGGGCGTCGAGCCGGCGCCATTCGTGGCATTGGGCGTCGCTGGTGTGGGCGGTCCCCCGCCTCCTCCGCCACCGCTGACGCCATTAACCCCGGGCGATCCTCGACCCGATCCATTGCTCAAGCTGTTGGACAGCACGGAATTGTTGTTATTACTCTCCAGCGGTGTGGCGTTCCGGGTGATCCGGTTGTTGGCCTTCGCGCAGATGCGCCGCTTGAGATCTTCGCGCAGGAGCGATTTCAGTGGCGAGACCTAGTCCAAAATTAGATTGATTAATATGGATTTATGGATGCAGACGTGATCAACGTACCTTGATCAGTGAGGTGATTCTGTTGTTGTTGCTGCTGCTGTTGCTACTGTTATTGGAAGCCTGTTCTGTATCGCTACTGGGATCACTGCCGTTCATCAGGTCCTTCTTATCCACATCCTCGACCATGGGCTCCTTTGGGTAAGGGTAAAACAAAGTTAAGTTAAGTATGTTAAGCATTATTTGTTTATGATATGCAGACCCTACAAGCACTTTTAACTAAATTGGTTTAAGGCGATTTCAAGGACACCTTGGATTATTTGTATCTAATACCTAATCAAACTGTCATAAAAATAGACAAAATGTCTGTTGGAAAATAAATTAACAATAAAACTTTAGAATTTCCGAAAGCCCAACCTCATTGAAATTGAAGGGTAATTAATAATAATATAAATAAATACCAAATATAATACAAAGTTTATGACTCTAAAAATTTGAACAAATTTACTTGCAAATTTATTTTACAGGTCAAGATCTAACGTTGAATCAAACACAAATATTTAAGCCATGGAAGTCTAAAAGCCATAAAAGCTGGTTCAGCCAAATTAGGTATGCAGTCTTTTGTGATGCACAACAGGTTTTCAAAATATTGTTCCGCCTTCGCATGCAGATTAAGTGTAGACTCGACCGTCCGAAGATATGGAATTTTGATTACACCGTAGCGCCTACTATTTCATTTTAAAAAATTTAATAGCTAAAATTTGTTACTAACTTATAAAAGTAAATGTTAAGTACTACTTTTACACGTCGGACTTGGAGTTAGTAATTACCTAGTTCTGTTAATTCAAATTCCCTTATGTTACTCTATGCTTATCGCAATAGATTCCATAATATATGCCCAACCAAATGCCAAACTATGATCTTTATTTATCACACGATCTGGCGTCTCACCTGTTTAATGGGTATCAGACTGATCGACGGCGTTATGTGGTTCTCGTGGTGGTGATGGTGGTGGTGGTGGTGCGGATGCTGGTGGTGGCTCTTGAGACCTCCACTCAGATTGCTGGCTGTGGTGCTGGATGTGATGGGCGTGGCCTTTGTGTTGCAATCCATGGGCAACTCCACCGGCGATTGCATGATGAGGGCTCGATCTTTCACCTTATCGCCATTGGACTCGGCATTTCCATTGCTAATGGAGTTGCTCCCGCTGTTGTTGTTGATGTTGTTGTTGGTTGCGCAGCTGTTGTTGTTGTTGTTGTTGTTGTTGTTGTTGTTGTTGTTGCCCTGTAATGCAGATTCACGCCAAACGCAAATCAGCTAGTTTATTGTTTGTAAGCGAGGGGGTTTCGAAAAGGGATTGGTTGCCGTATAGCAATTGACTTACATTAAACAGCTCCGTATTGCCACTCTCACCCAGCGTCGAGATCTCCACGTGCGGCGTGAGGAAGTGCATTGGAGGCGTGGCGTTCTCGAGGGATCTCATGGACTCCCCACTGTCGCTGGCCGGAGGAGCAACCTGTTGCTGCTGCTGTTGCTGCTGGGACTGAGATTGCACGGGCACGGGACTGAGGCCAGGAGGCACATAACTAGCTGCCGCTGCTGCCGCCGCCGCCGAAGCCTGCGATTCGAGGGCCAGAAGCAACGAGGAGGTACCACCCGGTCCCGGATTATCCAGATCGATGCCGTGCCGGTTGAAGAAGTGAATCCTCAACGATTTCATGGAGCCCGCTCGGTAGCTGCAAAGCGGACATGTCTTCACCAAGTCATGCTGGCCCACATGCTCGTTCTGGAAGTGGGCACGCATCGCAATCTGGCGCTGGAAGCCGCGATTGCAGATCGGACAGTGATAGGGCAGCGTTTTGGTGTGCGTGGTGAAGTGCTCCGCCAGGTGGTCCTTGCGGAAGAACCTCTTCTGGCACACCCGGCACTCGTACGGCTTGACACCCGTGTGTCGCATCTTGTGTCGCCGCATATTGGCGCCGTTGGAGAACTTCATGTTGCACACATCGCACTCAAAGACCTTGCGGGAACTGCTGTTGCCGCCGCCCCCGCCTCCTCCGCCGCCGCTGTTTCCCGCCGGTGAGGAGCTGGCCGAAGAGCTGGAACCGTTGCCTGCATGGCCATCACCTTTGCCTCCCTCCATGTGGCCCAGGCTCATGTTCTCCGGCTCCTGCAGATCCTCGCTCTTGAGCCGCGCCGAAGCAGCCGCCGCCGCTGCCGCCGCCGCCGCCTGCCCCGCCAGGCACTGGACCACGTGGAGCAGCAGGGAGGCTCGCGAACTGGTCTCGAAACTGTCGCATCGCTCGCAACGAAAGGTCATGGGCGGCGAGTGGGGGCCGGTGCTGAGATTCGTGGGCGTGGGCGTCGGCGATCGCGGCTCCTGCAGCTCTGATTCGGAGGCGGATGAGGCGGCCTCCTTGAGACTCCGCAGAGCCATCGCATTGTGATGCAGCAGGGCCGCCGTAGTGGGCGTCATGTCCACAATGATGCCGCCTCCCACTGTCGGACTGGGATCCTTTAGGGCTAACTCCATGCCGCTGGCCGCTGTGCTGATCGTTTCGGCCATCTGGAATTGCAAAGTATCGTTTAGTTCTCTCTATATACACGAAAGAATAATACTTTTTATAATTTTGCATTTCATTAGAATATTTATTTATTTATTTACAAAAGATTAAAACAAATGGTTGCATTTTGTATAAGCAAATGAACCATAAATATGTAGGCCACTTCGATATTTCAGAATCTGTTAATATATTAAAAAAAAAAGCTTAAAAGTCTATACAAAGATTTAATTTAATTATTTTACTGCAAACTTTTCTCATTGAAACAAATTTAATTGTAATAACAGCGATTTGGGATTAAACATTAACTGCAGGAAATGAGTTAGGGATTGTGCAAATGTAAATATATATTTGAAATATTAATATTTTTGATCCTTTTTCTAGATTATACCGATTTTTGGTTCAGTGCGAATGAGATTAGTCCAGGCCACGCCCGAAAATCGATGACAAGTTGTGGTTGCTATTTTTTTTTATATTTTGCAGTCGGTTTTTGGCATTTCAAGTGCTTCCAACCCAAAGACCCAAGCCCAAACTCAGACTTCGACTCTAATAAGCCAAATTGGTGTCAGCGTCGCAGCTTCGTGGGATGAGGGGCAGTTGCTGGAAGGGGCAGGGGACGGGGGAGAAGTACGGGCAAGGGGTTAGGGGAACCTGCGGAGAATTCGCCAAGAACCAAATCACCAGCAATCACACCAACACCGACCATTTTTGGGCGGCCTTGTTGTTGTAGTTGTTGCCGGCGTTGACGTTGACTTCGTGCTATGAAAATACCAAAGTTATTGGGGCCAATTACTGGTCTTGCAGGTGGGCAATCATTTGGACACCCAAACACACACAGAAACGCTGCCCGAACCAGAGATGGAGACCACACCAACAACACCAAGCAAATCATTCACAACTTGGCGGCAGCACAATGGCAACTAAATGGCATTTTGGCCCAAAATCTGTCATTGTTTAGGTCAGACTTTAAAAAGACATTATTATTGAAAAAAAAAGTTCAGTCCCAACATGCTCTTATTAAATTAATTTGTTGAACTTCTTGAGTTGGTCGTAAAAATAAAAAAACACCGATATTATAAACGGAACGTTTTTTTCATAGTAAATATAAGGTTTGTGAATATAGGTTGCTTGATAAGGTTTTTTATAATTCATTTAAGTATTTTAAAGAGAAATTTCTTATTTTTATAAGAATTTATTTATATCAATAGAAGGTTTGTGAATATAGGTTATTTGATAAGGTTGTTATAATTCATTTAATTATTTTTAAGAGAAATGTCTTATTTTTGTAGTTAATATTTATCTAATATCAATTGAAAACGGCTGGGATAATGGTCTCAAATTTTTTTTAATTTGTTCCAAATTTCCAGGAAGCAGCCTTACTAACTTTTTATAAGTAGGTTCAAGAATGTATTTAGGTTGGTTTTGAATGAGGTAGGTACTTTCCGAGAAAATGTTTATGATTAAAAGTTTGAGTTCCGGCCCATTGTGCAACTTTGGCTTAGTGACGCATGTCACCCGTCGTCTGGCCAGGGTTTTGGCAATAGGTCAAATGTGGATACCCATAGATAGTTATAGGTACCTCCACATATGCACAGGTGCCGATGTGTGGGGTGTGAGTGTATATCGGGCAGCGTATAAATCATCATCCATAATCATTCGACAGAGCTGGCCAAGCTCTTCTCGCAGCTAATTTAATTCAACCTTGAATGCTTGTGCATTAGCATTAGCCAGATCACAAAAGCCAAGAGCCATGGGGGACGACCTCAGCCCCGACCAGCTTCCCTAAGCCCACATGCGGCCAAAGAGATATATGCGAGTGGCTGTGCATTTCTGGCCAGGTCAGCACTCTGAAAAATGAAATGTGTGTCGTAGGCCTATTTGGAGGCATCAACTTAATTACAAATTCACTTTTCGATGCTCTACCACGCAGACAAACAGGTATTTTCGGGGCACGAAACTTCTTTTTACGGGCCAGGCCACTTAAATGTTGTAAACTTGTAAACATTAGCAGCGCGAGCACAAAAACCAAAAACTAAAACGCTGAAAAACGCACAAAAAGTCGGTTTGCATTTTCGGTAATTATGAGGCGCTGTTGGCTTTGGCATTATAAATGCCATAGTTGGCAACCCAATGGAGTCATTGGGTCAAGTTTTAGAGTGCAACTGGGTCAGGCTTTATCATTATTATCATTATCGCCACCACCTCGCCATCATCATCATCATAATCTCTGGCCAAGCGATGGCTAACATACGACCCAACCTGGGGTTTCGGGTCTCGGGTCTTTGGGGTGTCCCGCATTTTCACTTGTCCGCCGTGCTGTTCCCAATTCGAAGCCCCGAAAGCCGAAAGCAAAAGAAAATATAAAGCGCCGCTTGGGCTTTGGGCCGCTCTGGAAATGAGAAATGGTAGGAGAAACACGAAATGGGAGCACACACACAAGTGAGCGACATAATTGGAGCGCCCTGAGAGCCCTTAATGATGTCGCACACTGTCCGCCGGTCGGGGATAAAGGTGCGCCACGTGGGCGGCTAATTTTCAGAGGGGAGTGTGGCCACTAAATCGAGCAAAAACTTATTTAAAAAAAAAAATAAAAAAAAAAAATTTTTTTTTTTAAATTATATTTTTTTTTTTTTTTTTTTTTTTATTATTTTTTTTTTTTTTTTTTTTTTTTTTTTTTTTTTTTTTTTTTTTTTTTTTTTTTTTTTTTTTTTTTTTTTTTTTTTTTTTTTTTTTTTTTTTTTTTTTTTTTTTTTTTTTTTTTTTTTTTTTTTTTTTTTTTTTTTTTTTTTTTTTTTTTTTTTTTTTTTTTTTTTTTTTGTTAATTTTTTTTTTTAAAAATTCTTTTTCTCAAAAATTTTTTTTTTTTTTTTTTTTTTTTTTTTTTTTTTTTTTTTTTTTTTTTTTTTTTTTTTTTTTTTTTAATTATTTTTTTTTTTTTTTTTTTTTTTTTGTTTTTTTTTTTTTTTTCTCCCCCCCCCCCCCTTCTTTTTTTGGGGGGTGTTTTTTGGGGGGGGGCCCCGCTTTTATGTTTTCTCTTGTTTTTAATGTGGGTTCAACAATCAAGTTTCAAAATAATTAATAAAAAGTCTTTTAGTAGGAAAGATTTGAAAATGATTTCAAAAGAAATATAAATTGCTCTTTATTATATTATTATTTATTTTATATACGAATCCTGGGCAAATTATTGGTATTTAACAAACCCTTGTACGAAAACTAGGAACCGAAAATAAACGGGTTTGTAGTCTTTTCATTTAAAAAGACTACTTTTAGGGCTTAACCTTTTTATTTGTTTTCTAATTTCGGTAATTTTTATACACTTTGTGGACAAGTGTTAAATAATAAATATTTAAATAAAATTATAATTTTGATTATTATCACTGAGCAATTACTTCTACTGAAATAAATTTAAACTATAAACCATAGCTAGGGAAGTAATTTTTCCAGTTTATAACCAGCCCTACTATTATTGCACAACGAGGTAAAAATTGGCATAATAGATGATTATTAATATCTTAACAACAATTTCTCAATTCTCTTTTTATACAATGGCATATCCATTTTAATGTAGACTACATTTTAATTAATATTTGGTTGCCGTTAAATATCTTAAAAATTAAAAAATATATATTTCGCAAAAATATAACTGAAATTGCGAATCTACGTATTAGTAACTTTAATAAGAGCTGAAATATCTTTATGCCTTTTGCAATTCTCAAGCAACTTCAACGCACGCGTCAAATGTATCTTTTAAATTGTAAAAAAAATTTAAATTGCATGGTATATACACATATGAAAATATTAATTTATAATGATTAAATTTTAAATAATTAATAAAGCTATGAATAATCTCTTTAGCTGACTTTAAGACACTGTGCTCTGGCTTGTAGGCCAAATGAATCTTTTGCATAGCCTGAGGCCGCGGCGCACGATTCCCATTCAAATTCAAATCAAAAGCTAGTTTATTAGCATTGCATTGACCATTGGGGATTTCGAGTTGCTGTTGGAGTTTTGAATCCAAAACGGAATGGGAGCCGGAATTGGAATTGGATTTGGAATCGAAGTGGAGTTGAAAACGAAGACGGACGCATCTTTTGGAGGGCGACTGACTTTCGAAGGCTGGATCTCCATGCAAAATAGACCATATAACAGATTTGACCTTAGCTGCGATTTTTTACCGGTTTTCCAGTGCGGAAAGGGCGAGGAAAGGGAGGGCTGGGTTCAGGGGGATCGCCTACCGTCACGCAACAAAATGAGTCAGTCTGTCGATGGAGTTGTTTTTGTTGCTTCCTTTTCCTTTGGCAAATCAATGAAGCATTCCCAAAAAAAAGAAAATAACAACAACAAGCGGGTAACATGTGCGTCGAAATGAGAACAAGAACAGAGCGAAAAAGAGAGAAGCGGGAGAGAGAAAACCACTTTCCATGGTGACACACTTTTATGCTACGTGCTGTTTTGCTACTTTTGCCGCTGCTTTTGCTGCTGCAGCAGCAACAACAACGACCCGACTCCCATAATAGAAAGTGGAACAGGAATTTCCCCCCTCTATCATATCAATGCCAGAGAGCACGGCGATGATTTCATTTTGGCTGGCCTGCACTCATTGCGAAACACTTGCCACGGCCAACAAGCAACGGGCAGCAGCAACAACAACATTGCAAGAAAATCAAGAAACGGGCGAGAAAAAAGTGGGAAAAAAATAGTTCAGTGGGAGCCGAAAAGCAGCTGAGCGAATGTTGCTGTTGGAGCTCTTTGTGTACAAGCGCTCTTTTTCACACTGAACCAAATAGTTTGATACAAATCCAACATACATTGCGGATGAGTAATTTAAACATTGCGTATGAATAATTTTTTTTTTTACTAAAAATTATAACTTTTTCCATATTCCACGAAAAACCACTAAAAATACAGCATTAAATATGTATCCAATTTTTTTACAATTGCATACAAGAGTTACCCAAGAGGCTCCTATAGCCCAAACAAATTCGTTTAGGAAAAAATTTAATGCTTTAGTTGTATCGAAATCAACTATTTCTAATAATATGATAATATTTTATTATTAATATTTATATTAAATAACCAGATTGATCTTCGTATCCTATCAATTTGTCTTTCTGTATGGGAGCCGAAAAGTGAATGTAGTATCTCTCTGTGTACAACTGCTCTCTCCCACGCTCTTTCTCTAACACTCTCTCACTCATTCTCTCACAGCGCATGTCCCGTTTTTGTTTATACTTTTTCTCACACCCGCTCTCCCTGACTGCTGTTGTTGTTGCAGGTGCATGCTTTTTGCTCTCACTGCAATTGCAATTTTGTAGCATTAGGCGCGTGAATTAATTTCTAATTGATGGGACCAACAAGCATGCTCTGCCCCACTTCCGATTCCCAGAGAGAGTCTGCCGCTTTGCTCTCTTTGGTAAGTGGCTAGCGTATAATTTTTGTTGTGTTGACCTAATTATACGCTCATTTTGATTCACTTGATTTTCTCTGCACACAAACACACACACACTGGCACACACGTTTCGTCACTGCGACAAGTGGAGCAGGCAGCGACGTCGGCAGAGGCAGCATTTTGTGGCAGCGACCGTAATTTCTTGTGGTTACTGGGACGCAAAAACAAATACAAAATATAAATAAGGTGGGATACACCCCCAAAAACTCACACTATAATGCATGCGTTAGTAACTGCATCCGATTCCGATATATGCCAATAAATTTCGAAATTCTCAAATACCGAACCGAAAGACTGAACTGAGCTGAATTCAAACAGCAATAGTTGGTGGAAATGGATGTGGAAGTCCCACCAACTGCATCTGTTTCCCTGTACTGGTATCTGGGTTCGTATTTGTATCTGTCTCCGTTTTGTTTGGGACGGAAATGCCAGGGCTGGCGGCCAAGGGGGTTACCACTTTAGGTGAGTCAGGGTTCAAAGGGGTTGGGGGATCTGATAGACAATAGTTCCATTTATTTCTGCACTGATACAAAATATTTTTCATTATTTTCTTAATTTTATTTACTCATAATAAAATTATTACAGTCAAACTTCCTTGACCAGAACTGGTTTTTTTGGCTATAGTGTTTGAAATACACATAAGTCCAAGGTCATCATCCTAATATATTAAAAAAATTTTAATATAATTATATTTTGAATTTTCTAATTAACTCAACTAGTTATTTCACAAAGATTAAACCCATATTAATTAATATTAACTTTTTTAAATATTAAGAAAAAAAGGTTTCGAAGAATTAAAATAAATTCTACAAAATGTATAAATAATAATATTTATAATTGATACTTACAATAAAAAAATGAGGTTTATTTAAATAGAACATCCATTAAATGTATAGGCTATTGTAATCTTCAACTGCAATGAAGCATGGGAAAATACTAGTTTTTTAATGGATAAATTGATGTCACTGACAATTATTTCAGCAGCTCAAGAATTCCCTACAAACCAGTCGAATTTAAGAATAGAATGTTCTCAACAAATTTAAGATATTTCGTATGCTTGTTATATCCAACAAATTATAACCAAAATAACAGAAAGCATATTTATATATTTCAACAAAATTGTCCAATTAAAATTTCGCTTTGCTTACAAGCAGATCAGTCCAAACATTGTTTGAAAATCTTCGTTTGGGGGAATGCTTCAGTTTGAAGGCCTTTTTTTGTTGGGTTATTCTCCCATGAAGAGTGGACGTGGATGTGGATCCCCCTTGGCGCCAAACACCACTGGCGAAGATTTGCCAATCGTTGGGCTCTCCGACACACCAACACTGAGATACCCAGAGAGCGGCCACACACTCACACAACCGATGGCACAGAGACACAGATCAGCCGCAGCAGCACCAACAACAACAACAAGACGCAGCAGAATTTGAAATTAGGTCAACAGGTTTGGCTGCTTGTAGTGGTGTGGGCTGAGCCAGTTACTCGAGCGTATGCCGTCGTCTTTGCCTACGACCTCGGCTGTCATCATCAAGGGGAAGGTGGGGAAGCGATGGGGGAGCTGAGGGAGCAGCAGCACCAACAACATCCAAAGCTATCGCCGCCAACGCAATATGCGTTCCGTTCGCCGTTCGTCGTTTATTGCACCACAGTTCGTGCAGTCTGCAGTTTGCAGTGCAGTTTTTCAGTTTGCAGTTGTTGTGGGGGAGATGCACTCGTACACACACACACACGTCAGAATTGAGCACACTGCAGTGCGGCTGTGAGGGTGAGGGGTGTGGGTGGTGGTTGGTAGTTGAAGGGTGGCGGGTGGCGGGAAAGGGGGTGGCGTGTGCTGCTTTTGGGGAATGAGCCAGGGATGCAGAGCATCATTTTAGCATCCCAATGCAAGTGACAAATTGGGGATCGATAAGGGATGGCGGATAAGGGAGGGAGAAAAAATTGGAAGTCAAGCTACTACGTTACAAAGAGGGTCTGTACAATTGCAAATTTCATTTATTTCGTAAAATATGTGAAATGTAAATAGTAAATTCTCTTAGATTTTCCCAAAATATTGACGTCCCATACATAGTTTATGCACAAGAATTCTAAAAATCACATATATATAATAACTTCTGTCAAAATTTATTTTACCACAGTTGATATAGCCTTAAGTATATACGTAATATTACATAGTAGCTTAATTTTCAGTTTCAAGATTTAAAGTTATTATTTTAAAAACAAGTAAGGAATTCGGGTAGTTTAAATACGGTAACTCTTTTTCTAAATTTCAAAATGAATTAAATACAAAAATAATAGCAACTTTATAGCCAACAATGGTTTTTTTTTTAAATATAGCTTTGTCTTATTTCGATATCTCGACAGATCGCGATTAAGAATATATGAACCCTGTTATTACTACAAAGCGAATAAAGACAATCTTTTTGTGACAGTCATCAGTTGTATTTAGTGGTTATATACTCTTTTTCAACTATTTTGTATTTACCTAAAACCATTTTAATAAATTTTTTGGTTACTGAACATTAAAAAAACTGGATTCTTGTTTAATGTTCTGTTCATGGGGTGCATCTTTGATTTTTTTAGTAGTGGTAATAATTTAATGAGAAATTCAAGAATGATAATTTCTAGTTGTAAATAGCTCGATCTTTTTCATCAAAAAAATGAAATTTTAAAAACCTAGCTTAAACCAAAATATATTTAACGGAAAAGCGCTATAACATGGGTTCCGACTCCGCTATATTTAATCCGAGTCGGACATACGAACAGGTGTGACTGGCGTTTCAAAATGCCTGAGCCCCTTCTTGAATAACCAGGTAGCAATCTTCTGGTTGGAAACTATTGCGAAAACGCGCATATGTTCTGAAATGGAAACTCAACGCGGAGTCGACTGGCGAGACCAACTTGAGTTTCTGATTTGATTTCGATGCAGCCAAGAGATTTCAACATACTTCTTAGTTGGTTTCTGTGTCACAATCGAGCGTCTGTGTGCTGACTGACTAGGTGGATGTGGATGAGGACGGGGACGGGCCAAGTAATGAGCTCCCAGAGAGCTGCAGCCATCGCCATCGACATCGCCACCTGCAGCAGCGACGGAGGCGTCGCAGCCACCGAAGCCGGAGCAGATAATCCCAGTAGAAATTGAAACTAGCTGCGGCAGGTTTAGAAACTGGTATAGAAAAACGCCAGCCACAGCCGCAAAGGCAGAAACAGCAACAGAAACTGAAACAGCAGCACACATAGGCAATCGACCTTGTAGGAGTGTATTTTGTCTTGGAGCATGCCCGTAAACTGGGCCAACGCGATTGCACTGAAATCAGGTGGGCGTGACGTAGGTAAATACAGTGCAACTCCCCGAAGTTGGATTGGCCGTAACTCCATTTGGAGAATAGAGTTTATTGCCTCTATTGTCTAAATTATTAAAAACTTTTAAAAATAATTTGCTTTGGGCTTTCTAAATTTTTGATCCCAATTACTCCTATTAAAGTTCTTTTTGTTAAATGTTTAAATGCATTATATTATTACAGGGTGAAATAGTTTGAAACTAAATAAACAAAACATAATATATTTTTTTTAACGCTTTTAAAACAAAGTAAATTAAAAGGGTTAAAGAAAATTAAAAAAAAAGGAATACGAAATTTGATACTTTATGATTTTTTAAGTTAATAAATAAAAATAGTAAATTAATATTGAGAATATTTTAATTTGAAAAACATTTCACATTTTTGAAATATAATATTTAACTTTTATTTAACTCATTTGGATGAACGGCAATTTCAAAAGCAAAATACGAAATGATAAATTTGATTTTGAAAATAATTTGAATAGTTAGAAATCCCCATAACTCCAGATAGTTAAGTGACAGATGGTGGGCCACTTATGGACAGTTGACTGTATGTTGGCCAATAAAAGCGTTAATGTGTGCGTGTGTATGGGAAAGCTAGCTGTACCCTTGGCGCCCATTAATCCATGGCGGAAAATCCACGAAAATCTGTCGCAATCCGACAGATATCCGAAATAGCCAGGCGCTCGCAGGAGTTTCGTAATTACATACCCGCTAAAATGAAAGAGCGGCAGCCTTGGCTTCTGATTTTAAGTTTCTTTTTCTCGGTTTTTTAGTTCTTTGGTTCTTCGGTTTTTTGCTCAGTTTCTCGTTTTTATTCGTTTTAACTTAGCATTAGCACAGCTGGAGTCTTTTGCAATGCTCTCGAAAAAAAGAAACGCGCTGGGTGTTTGGCAATTTTAGATTTCAAAATACCACAAGGTGCATTCTAACACACACACACACACGTGCACTGGGGCGCTCTCTTTGGCTCTCTCACACACACACTAGGGCATTATTGCAGTTCTTGGATCTATGTTTCTCAATTTCCATGTAGCGGCGGGGGCATTACTTTTGCAATTTGCGATTTGCGTACACTGCGGAGTGGAGTCGAGTCGCGGATTATTCAACCAACTAACCTCCCACAAAACGGCAACTGGAACACAACAACAAACGCAGTGGATGTGGCTGTGGATGTGGATGCACTCGAAAACAACGCGAACGCGAGATGCCGAATGTATATTATTCGAAACCAAAACCGAAATTACGCGCAGCTCAAAAGGGCAAGAGTTAGCTTTGGGCCCCAAATAATAATAATAATAATAACAACAATAATAATAATAAAACTGTCAGTGGACAACGCGCGCACGGAGGCCACATCCGAATGGGCCAAGAGACGAATCCACTCTGAGCGGATTCGGATTCGGAATTGGAATCGGTATCTCTCGCTCCGCCGACGCTCTGCCTCTGCCCGGCCTCTGCCGGCGTCGCTGCCGTGGCGCTCGGCAAAACAAAAACAACTCAAGCGATTCCGATTCCTCAAGGCCTACTATTTAGGCCAAAAAATAATGTACCACAGCAGCAGCGGCAGCAACTCGTTTCTTACAGAAATGTAAACGTTCTAATTGAGTTCTCATTTATGGCCCGCTACACCGACTGTGCAACTGAGTACTTGTTGTTGCAATGCCTAAAACCATCGGAAAATGTTTTTATCCGGCTGGCATAACCATTTTCAAATTGGAAACAAGTTTACTGATCCCTGCAAAGTTGGCTTTTTCACCAAGAGCAGTGACACCTCGTCGTTTTCATTTAAAATCACTTGTCGCTGTGGGACTGGAGATCAAGTATCCATTAGCGAAATGTTCTATGCAGTCAGGGATCTTTAAAATCATGCGATTCTTTTAGCATGATAAGTCAAATAAACTTATGCCAAATATATAAAGGACTTGTTTTCCAAACCTAAACGAATTTTTAGTAATGGAATATCTTAAATAAAACAAGAAAGGAAAGCTAACTTCGGGCGGAGCCGAAGTTGAAATACCCTTGCAGAATATTCGGCAAATTATATTCTCCAAAATTATTCATATGATGCATTCTTAATACTCATAAAAAATCCCACCTTCCTAACTTTAAAAACACCAAAGTTATGGCATTTCCAATCGTTCAGTTATATGGCAGTTACAGGATATAGTCGGCCGATCCATATGAAATTTGGTAGGTCGGATTAATTGGCCAAAAATAAAACCCATAGGAAATCCCAACTTTCTAACTTTACAAACACCAAAGTTATTTCATTTCCGATCAATCAGTTATATGGCAGTTATAGGATATAGTCGGCCGATCCTTATGAAATTTGATATGTCGGATTGATTGGGCAAAAATAAAACCCATAGAAAATCCCAACTTTCTAACTTAACAAACACCAAAGTTATGGCATTTCCGATCAATCAGTTATATGGCAGCTATAAGATATAGTCGGCCGATCCTTATGAAATTTGGTACGTCGGATTGATTGGCCAAATATAAAACCCATAGAAAGTCCCAACTTCCTAACTTAACAAACAGCAGAGTTATGGCATTTCCGATCAATCAGTTATATGGCAGCTATAGGATATAGTCGGCCGATCCCGGCCGTTCCGACTTATATACTGCGTGCAAAGGAAAGAAGGGTATGTGCAAAGTTTGAATTCGATATCTTTAAAACTGAGAGACTAGTTCGCGTAGAAACAGACAGACGGACAGACAGACGGACAGACGGACATGGCTATATCAACTCAGGAGGTGATCCTGATCAAGAATATATATACTTTATAGGGTCGGAGATGTCTCCTTCACTGCGTTGCACACTTTTGACCAAAATTATAATACCCTCTGCAAGGGTATAAATATTCAATAAAATAAAAAGCTTTCGGTTTAACTTTAAAGTAAGTTTACTTAGATTGATTTCTCAAACTTTAAAAACATATTTATACCCTTGCAGAGGGTATTATAATTTTGGTCAAAAGTGTGCAACGCAGTGAAGGAGACATCTCCGACCCTATAAAGTATATATATTCTTGATCAGGATCACCTCCTGAGTTGATATAGCCATGTCCGTCTGTCCGTCTGTCCGTCTGTCCGTCTGTCTGTTTCTACGCAAACTAGTCTCTCAGTTTTAAAGCTATCGGATTGAAACTTTGCACACACCCTTCTTTCCTTTGCACGCAGTATATAAGTCGGAACGGCCGGGATCGGCCGACTATATCCTATAGCTGCCATATAACTGATTGATCGGAAATGCCATAACTTTCGTGTTTGTGAAGTTAGGAAGTTGGGATTTTCTATGGGTTTTATATTTGGCCAATCAATCCGACCTACCAAATTTCATAAGGATCGGCCGACTATATCCTATAGCTGCCATATAACTGATTGATCGGAAATGCCATAACTTTGGTGTTTGTAAAGTTAGAAAGTTGGGATTTTCTATGGGTTTTATATTTGGCCAATCAATCCGACCCACCAAATTTCATAAGGATCGGCCGACTATATCCTATAGCTGCCATATAACTGATTGATCGGAAATGCCATAACTTTGGTGTTTGTAAAGTTAGGAAGTTGGGATTTTCTATGGATTTTATTTTTGGCCAATCAATCCGACCTACCAAATTTCATAAGGATCGGCCGACTATATCCTATAGCTGCCATATAACTGATTGATCGGAAATGCCATAACCTTGGTGTTTGTTAAGTTAGGAAGTTGGGATTTTCTATGGGTTTTATATTTGGCCAATCAATCCGACCCACCAAATTTCATAAGGATCGGCCGACTATATCCTATAGCTGCCATATAACTGAACGATTGGAAATGCCATAACTTTGTTGTTGTTAAAGTTAGGAAGTTGGGATTTTCTATGGATTTTATTTTTGGCCAATCAATCCGACCTATCAAATTTCATAAGGATCGGCCGACTATATCCTATAGCTGCCATATAACTGAACGATTGGAAATGCCATAACTTTGTTGTTGTTAAAGTTAGGAAGTTGGGATTTTCTATGGATTTTATTTTTGGCCAATCAATCCGACCTATCAAATTTCATAAGGATCGGCCGACTATATCCTATAGCTGCCATATAACTGAACGATTGGAAATGCCATAACTTTGTTGTTGTTAAAGTTAGGAAGTTCGGATTTTTTATGAGTATTAAGAATGCATCATATGAATAATTTTGGAGAATATAATTTACAGAGTATTCTGCAAGGGTATATCAACTTCGGCTCCGCCCGAAGTTAGCTTTCCTTTCTTGTTTTTCCTTTAATTGTCATAAGTAAAGCATAGACTGAAGCACAAGTTTCGCACTAGGTAAAAAAAAACTAATAATGGATGAACGCTAAATTATTAATGATAAGAAATCTAGAAAGTAATGTTGGAGTTTTTTGGAATTCAAAATAAATATATTTTCGAAAGACTTTAGAAGACTTTAATGATATGTTTATTATTAATTTTTATACCCTATTATTATTTTGGGTATTATAATTTTGGTCAAAAGTGTGCAACGCAGTGAAGGAGACATCTCCGACCCTATAAAGTATATATATTCTTGATCAGGATCACCTCCTGAGTTGATATAGCCATGTCCGTCTGTCCGTCTGTCTGTCCGTCTGTCTGTTTCTACGCGAACTAGTCTCTCAGTTTTAAAGATATCGAATTCAAACTTTGCACACACCCTTCTTTCCTTTGCACGCAGTATATAAGTCGGAACGGCCGGGATCGGCCGACTATATCCTATAGCTGCCATATAACTGATTAATCGGAAATGCCATAACTCTGCTGTTTGTTAAGTTAGGAAGTTGGGACTTTCTATGGGTTTTATATTTGGCCAATCAATACGACGTACCAAATTTCATAAGGATCGGCCGACTATATCCTATAGCTGCTATATAACTGATTGATCGGAAATGCCATAACTTTGGTGTTTGTAAAGTTAGAAAGTTGGGACTTTCTATGGGTTTTATTTTTGCCCAATCAATCCGACATATCAAATTTCATAAGGATCGGCCGACTATTCTATAGCTGTCATATAACTGAACGATTGGAAATGCCATAACTTTGGTGTTTTTAAAGTTAGGAAGTTGGGATTTTTTATGAGTATTAAGAATGCATCATATGAATAATTTTGGAGAATATAATTTGCAGAATATTCTGCAAGGGGTATTTCAACTTCGGCTCCACCCGAAGTTAGCTTTCCTTTCTTGTTATAACAGAATTTAAAATGAAAATACATTTTGTAAAAGCTTTTTAAAGCTAGAAACAAAAGTACCCAAGGTACAGTAAAACTATAATTGCCTTTAGTTTTCTATATTAAGATGTGTCTAATAAGCAAGTTGATAATTTGTACCCTAGCAAGTCCCAAAGAAAAATAAACAAAATAATTGTTTTACGAACAATGTTCTCTAAGAACTTTTCCATTTTACAAAAGTTAACTTAAAACCAATTTTTTTGCGATACATTTAACGATCGTTCTTATAGAAGCTATATGTTATAGTCATCCGATCCGGTCCGTTCCGACATATTTACTACTTGATAAAGAAAGAAGACTTTGAGAAAGTTTCATACAAGTAGCTTTAAAAATTAAAAAACTAGTTTGCGTAGAAACCAACGGACGATCTGACGGACATTGCTAGATCGATTTTATTGTTGATTCTAATAAACAATATATTTTCTTTATAGAGTCGGAATTGTCTTGTCACTTTTGACTAAAATTATAACACCTTTTGCAAGGGTATATAAAGAAGTAAATCACATAAATAGTTATAATTAATAGTAATTCTTAATTTTTTAAAACAAGCTTAGCCTTATTGAGTGGTGAAATCATTGATCCGTATTTTTTCAAGGGGATGTCGACCAGAACGTTACGGTTTGAAAGTCTGGCGTTTTGAGGTGCTATGTAAGCCAAAAATAACCTCATTAAAATGGAAAGAACAGAACTTACAAAAGAAAGCCAAAAACCAGTTTGGCTTTTCATTCCTTTCGTTGAGATAAACTTTGCAAATAAATGAATTGTTTGCGCGCCTGATATAAAACAACATTAAATTCTATATATCAGTTACTCCCAGTCAGACTCCGGCTGTCCTTTTTGGGTCCGTTTAATTCGCCTCCTTAAATCATGGTTTCTTTTGTGATATCGACGCTTTAACGTGTGAAAGGCAGCTCTTATATCGGCAACGTAGTCCGCTTGGGTGTATCCATCCGTTTTTAAGATCCCTAAACATAATAGAATACAAATAATTATAATATAATAATAACCCTCATATGTTTAAGGGTTCATTTTAACTATTTGTAAGAATCTTTGACAATATCGTATATCGTTCTAAATAGAATATGCTTTCTTTAATCCTATTTTAAGCTAACAATCCCAGTAAAGATATACATAAATCTTTTTCTTGAATTAATATTGAACTAAAAAAAGAAAGTTGGTGTAGGCTGGAATTTCAATTTTTATGGTAATAATACTCTTTACTTGCTTTACTTTACATTTCTGCAGCTTATATAATATTATATATTAGACCACATAAAAATATTTAATTTGGTTTTTATACCCGTTACTCGTAGAGTAAAAGGGTATATTGTATTCGTGCAAAAGTATGTAACAGGTAAATGGAAGCGATTCCGACCCTATAAAGTATATATATTCTTGTTCAGGATCACTAGCCGAGTCGATCTAGCCATGTCCGTCTGTCCGTATAAACGCTGAGATTTCGAAAACTATAAAATCTAGAAGATTGGCATTTTCCATGTAGATTTTAGGAGTTCCTACGCAGCGCAAGTTTGTTTCAAAATGGTTCCACGCCCCCTCTGACGCCCACAAGCCACAAGCTGTGGCCACAGTTTTGATGCTATTATGAAAATTTTAATTGATATGTATTTGTTTCGTCAATACCTATCGATTGGCCTAATAAAAGTTTGCCACGCCCACTCTAACGCCCAAAAACTCATTAAACGCTTAAGCCTGGCTAGCGCCTACATTTCCGCCTTTCATAGCGCCATCTAACGGATGAGTTTGGAACAGCTGGCCAAGGTGCTCAACAGAGTCAACGTTAATTCTCGATAAGGATTTCTATTAAAGGAAATTGCGATGGCTTTCATTTGTCAATACCGAACTATATCCCAGGAACTATGCAAATCAAATCTAGTTAGCCAAATTGGAGGTCTGAGTCAAACAATGGCGTATGTGTGTATGTATGTAAGCATATACATATGTATGTATTTACATTGTACACAGTTGCAATTGCCCGGCAAAGATAACTCCTTTCAAAGAAAGCTATTCGCTATACCCGTTACTCGTGTTGTGCAAACATTTAGACTTTAATATATGTACATAATACTATTTAAGAATGTATGTGTTTAGCCAATATAAGTATGTACATATGTTTAATATTTCTAGTCAATTTATTGCACTCAAAAACATAAACTTAATCATAAACACAGCTGCTGGTGCAGGACAAAAGCTGCCTGCGCTAAAGCAGCGCTGGTGCTGATGCTCGTGCTGTAAAGCTGCCAGCACTAAGAGATCGCCGAATTCAAATTGATAATTTGAACTTTTTGTCCTTTTTTCCTGTAGTTACTCTAATTCACATTATGTTAATGCAAAATCTTGTTTGTTGTTTAGCTGAGTAACGGGTATCTAATAGTCGAGGCACTCGACTATAGCGTTCTCTCTTGTTAAATTTACAAAAGTCCAACATAGTTACATCTAGTAACTTTAATTAAAAGCAGATTTTCGCAGTCTCATTTAAATTGACTCAATTTTCCATGGCAGCTTTATGAAATAGTCGTCCGATATTTATTTTAAAACGTATTTCAGTTCAACGAAGTTATGTCAATTTTCATAAGTATTTTTCGATCGTTTCTACGGCAGCTATATAGTTCCGACATAGGATATGAAAACTTTTGGAACAATTTTATCCAAATACAATCACTTACCGAAAATCGTTTTATTTATGTTTTTGTACTGTTTAAAGGACTGTTTAGTGCTCACACCATCGTAGTTGTACGCCATTAGAATATCGTACTCGAACATTTTTGAGAAATTCTTTTTTAGGGGTTCTATTCTTCCCTCTGGTCTTAGAATGCGGTGAATTAGGTTTGTCTGCAAAGTAATACATTTGTAGGTACCTCCCCATCAGTTATACTTAGTCTGCAACTCACATATATATTGCCCGGCTTGGAAAGATTTTCGTCGAGATTTGACAGTTCTTCAGGATCCGTAACCGGGAAATAGTCTTGTTCCACCTTGTAAAATTCGCCGTTCGCCCTGCTGTGAGCCACCTGGCAAAGGCGCGCTAGGATTTCATTTTGATTGTCCAAGATTTTATCCAGTTTAAGTTGCAGCTCCGCAATTCCGACCTCCAGTAACTCATCATGGGACAAAAGTGGATCGTCATCCCTCAGTAAATCCGTATACTTTTGCTTACTCATTGCAAACTGTGGGCAAACGATGGATATTAGAATCCACCTTTAGTCACCAAAAAATCTTAGCTTGCCCATCGCTTATAACGGCCCAAAATTTATTTGTTTTCATAAAAAGAACTTTGTTGTAGTTTGTTGACAAAAGTGATGTGCAAGGTGACAGACCAAATGGCTTATCGATATACTATCGGATTGAGTCGCCGCTGGATTTCTGTTAAAATGGGTTAAGTTACTGCTAACAATCTCCGAGCCCAGGGCTGCGTGCGTTGAGAAAAAACCTATCGATTAGCTTCTCCACATGGTCACATTAAAAGTGCGTTTCTCGGCGCATTTGCAGGTATTGTGTGTGGCTCCGCTTTGAAAATTTGTTTACCCAAGTTTAAGACGTGAACGAAAGCCTTCAAAGGTTTAAAAGTGTAGTTTAAGTGTCCTCCCACCTGTGTGCCGTGTTTTCCTCCTTTTTTATGAAGCTCTGACAGCGCAATAATTGATTGAAAATTCCGTAGTGACCGCTGTCTGGAGCGGCGGTATAGCCGTCAATTACTGGTTCCCTTGGTTTACATAAGAGCGAAAGAGTCAGCTAGTGTTGCATTGCAGAAATGGCGTCGAAGTATGTGCACATGGCTGGGGCTGACTAGGTAATATTTAAACGATATTTCCCAGTTTCCCTGATTAAAGCCACTGGAGATGTATTTTCCTCCGGGAAATGCCCAAAATGGTATAATATTTACTTCCAGCGAGCCGTAAATTTCGTTTTCGGCGCAGTGTACGCCACTTTGTCCGGTTTTGCATTCCTTTTTGTGCGCTTCATTCGGTTTCAATGCCCTCGCATTCAGTGTTGCCAAGTGTCGGATATGTTCCTAGTGAAGTGTGTGCCTGCCGAATCCTGACGGGAATCGGTCTTTTTGTACAGACTTCCCTATTAATATTAATAGCACTTAGTAGTCTAGATGACGAGGAATATTTAGCCCGTCTGTGTGCTCCAATTAATGGTTAATTTATCAATTGCTGCATTCGCAACTGGCAACACTGGTGGGCCCGCTCTAGTGTGGGTGCGAGGGAGATGACGCTTGGGGCAGATGCAGAAGAGCGAGCACAAAAGCGAAAGCGGAAAACCGAAACGAAGAGGCCAAGGAGTTTATAAATCAATTTTTGTGTATGTCCGTCCCCGCGATTCCCGTTTCAATTTGTGTTGAGCAGTTTCCGGGTCGCGGAATATTTCCCATCAGGAGAAATCATCATATCCTGGCGGACGTGCAAAATGCGAAACTTAATAGAAAAGTGAAGGCGGCAGCGGTCTTTTGATTGTGTGCACTAGTTATCCCGTGTGTGTGTATGAATAATGCATGAAAAGGCGTTATTCACAGCTAAAGTTGATAAAACTGTTTTGAAAACAAAAATTAAGTGATTCAGATATGCACTTGGTATCGGGGTCGCCTTCGCTGCTCCTGCTCTCTATTTTTCATGAACCCACCCCCTTTGGAAAAGCGGCTGACGTTTCGGCTTTGATGCGTCGCGGTCACCTACCCCGCCACCCGCCCTCTCTCGCCCACCCCAGTTACCTGTTTTGCCAATACATTTTCCGCCCCCTTTGTCCACGACACCCCCTTTTCATTAATTTTTGTTATTTCTGAATGCTCGCTTTGTTTGTGCGTACGTTCGTCTCTCCCCACTGTATTAGTGTGTGTGTGTGTTTGTTCACGTTCTTTCATTCTCTTTTATTAAATGTACATTGAACTCTCATCTTGCCAGCTTTTCTTTTGCGGCTCTTTTTCGGCCACTTGTTTTGCAATTCCACACATCCGTAGATTAAATCTGCCTGGATTCTCTTATTCCCAAACCCAATGATTTCGATAATGTCACGAATTTATACAATATTAAAAAATTTAAATTGTTTCTTAGTTTTGAATGGTTGTTAATAGCTAAAAATGAGAAACAATGTGTTTTCAAAGGAACCAAGACAATAACCTGGTTTTTTATTCGCTTTTAAACCAAAGGTTATAACAATCTCAAAAGATATTCTGGATGTTAAAGTTTTAGGAAAAATGCCATTTTCGACCAGCAGCTGACTAATTTTCTATAATAATTGCTAATCGATTTTAAAATAACGCAAAAAACACAGTAGGATTGCGTGGTCTTTGGCGAATCCCAAAGACCGTATAATGACCACTCAGAGATTAAGGATTTTCATATTAAGCGCTTCTTACAGTTTATTATATAGTCAAATTAAATGTAACAAATAATGCTAGTTAGCAAAACCCAATCCAGTCGTCACAGATTTAAAATTATATCAGTCAGATTGTTGATCACTAGTTTTGATATCGTATCATTCATCTTTTGCAGCTAATTTGTATATACAGTGTACATAGAGATGAGCACACAAACTCGTTCAGGCGGCGGAGGAGGCGGCGGCCACACCCGCAACCAGAAAAAGTCAAATGCCAGCAACTCCGGCGGAGGAGGATCCGGAACCGGCCACCACGATGGAGTCTCACACGCTGCGGCCGCCGGCAAGAAGGGCGGCCAGGATGCCAGCAAGACAGACAAGCCTGAGAAGGCCCAGCCCAAGGCGACCACCGAACAGTTGCGCATTGCCCAGATCACCAATAGCACCACAGAGGATCCGCAGATCAAGGAGAAGGTCACTCTCCTGTTGACCATGACCCAACGTTCCGAGGAGGAGGTCTGCTGTGCCCTCAACGAGTGCGACTACGACCTGGAAGCAGCGGCGAACTTTTTGATTGAGGAGCTACCGCAGGTTAGTGTTGAAAGTGTTTCCCCTCCCCTCCAGTCACTCAAACAAATCCGTTCCAGGGCGCCTTTGCCAAGTACGAGAAAAAGCGCAAGAACAAGGCTGCAAGTACCGCGGCCGATGGCGCTGCCGGCGACGGCGATTGGGCCGATGGCAACGCGAATGCGGACAAGCGGGAAAAGTCTCGAAACCGCAGCTCAAATCGAGGTGGCACCCGCGGTTCCACCGACAGTCGTGGATGTAAGACCAAAGCCAAATAACGCTCATTTACTAAAAGGCTGCCTTTTTTTTGTTTAAATCAGCAGGCTTAAACTAAGCGATACAGAAGTAGTTTTAGTAAATGAGCTTATTTATTTAATTCCCTGTAAATAAACTAATATTTGACTTTTCGAACTTTAAGGGCGCGGAAGAGAGACACGCGAGAACGAGCGCAATCAGCGGGAGTCTCGTGAACCTCGTTCAGGCGGCGATCGCGGCGAAGATCGGGCCAATGACAACTATCGCGGGCAGCGCAATGGAGGCGGACGCAGTGGACCCGGTGGCGGTGGACGCGGCGGTGGTTTCGTCTCACGGTCCGGACGTGGTGGTGGACGCATGGGCGGACGCACAGGTGGCCCTCGTGGCGATCGCGGCAGCGGAGGCCCTGGCGGTAGCTATGGATCGGGTCGCAGCGGCAACACCGAAGATCACCACGAGGTAGAGCTGTGGGACAACACCATAGCCCAAAACGCCGAGAAACAGCAGCAGGCTCACGACGATGCTTGGGGCGATTGGAACAATGAGGAGTACGAGGGATCCCTCAAGGACAGCAAGGTATTCACCACCAGCAACCTGGCAACGCAAACAGCGGCCAGCGTGGTGAGCGGAACTGGAGCGAGTGGTACAGGTGCCTCTACGGTGGCTGGTAGCGAGTTATCGGCTCCACCGGGTCTTGAACACCATGTGGTTCAGCAGGGATCTCATTTGGAGGAGAGCTCCAGCAGCGGACCAGCGGTAGTGACACCGCCAGCAACGCTGACAGGCTCGGCGACCACGCCGTTGCTGCAATACAGCGCAGCAGTCAGCAATCCACCACCCCAGCTGCAGTCCCAGGGTACGCAGTCAGGAGCGGGAACGGGAGCGAGCGCAGCTGCCGGCGGAGGCGCGGGCAGCACACCGACCTCCTTTGTTTCCGCCTCACCAGACACATTCTCAAGCGCTGCCTCGGCGGCCGCCACGCTGGTACACCAGGCCCAACAGCAGCAGCAACTTCAGCAGCAGCAAACGACTCCAATCAAGCCGTCGGCCACGCTGTCGGTCGAGCAATCTCAGTATTTCAACTCGCTGGCCAGTCAGGGTGTCAGTCCAGGATCTGCACCGGGACCACCAGCGCCGGCTGGTTATGCGCAGAATCCGACGGCCGCCTACTCGCAAACTAGCACTAGCGTGGGTGTGAGTCAATACCCCAATACGTACGCTAACGTGTTTGCCTCGGGAACGGGAGCTGGAACTGGAGAGCAGTCGCAGCAGCAGCCGCAGGTGCGGAGGGCGCGCGTTAAGCTGCCACCCCCGTCGAAGATTCCAGCGAGTGCCGTCGAAATGCCGGGAGACAATGCACTGAACAACATTGGCTACCTGGACGTGCAGTTCGGCGCTCTGGACTTCGGCACGGACGATGGCTTCGAGACTCTGCCGGAGAAGGTTGGTTCGGGCTTTAGCATTGACGGTCAGCAGCAACAACAGCAGCCAGACGACTACCAAAGCAAATCCCAGCAGCAGCAACAACAGCAGGCGACGCTGGCGGCAGGTCTGCAAAGTTCCCAGATCGTGAGTACATCATTTTATACATTTGGTGGCTGAAATAATGATCATGTACCACAATATTTATGTTAAAGCCTTTTAAATTTCACTAGCTTATCAATACTAAGAATCTAATTAACCTTTTTAATTTGTAGAGCGATGCCTTAAGTGCAGCGGGTTATACGACCCGTTCAACGGCGCAGCAACAGGGTGTTAGCTCGGCGGTGAGTGCCACCACGGCGCTCGATCAGCTGGCCAAGAGTGATCCTTATGGCCAGACGACCGGCAGTGGGAATGCTTACCAGAACGCCTACCAGAGTGGAGCGGGCAAGGCGACCAGTGGCTACCCGACGACGGCGCCCGGCGGCTATAGCAGCTCAACCTACGCGAATGTGCAGAGCTCGGTGGCCAGTAGTTACCAGCAGCAGGGATATGGCTCGTACCAGCCCAATTCCTACCAGCAGCAAGCGGGCACTGGGGCTCAAGGCGGTTCAGGAGCGGTAGCGGGCGGGGGAGGGGCGGCGACGCAAAACATTCCGGTTGGAGGCAGCAGCAGCCAAAACAGCACAAGGTATGAAAGGATATAGTATCAATGATTGTTTTTAATATCATTCTGCAAGGCGCCCTTCCAGAGGGTTGTTTAAATTGAATTGAGAAATCAACGATTGTC